AGTGCGACACCGTCATTTAGGTGCTGCACAGGAAATTATAAACCCATTCTCTAAAAATGACCGGTTGGTTTCGACGATGGCTCACTACAATCAATAGTTACGTAAGGTTTTAGAGAAAAATTGCGAAAAACATAATCGTAAAACTTTTAACACTTGGTGCGAAACATTGTACGGGTGCGAAACATGGACAGTGGGCGAGGCGGAAAAGAAAAGGTTAGAAGCGTTCGAAATGTGGCGGAAGATGAGGATAACGTGGGTAGAAGGTTAGAAATGAAGAGGTATTGGAAAGAATAAGAGAACAGTGGACTCTATGGAAGTCAATAAAAAATAGGCGAGATAGGTTGGTAGGACACCTTCTTAGGCATGGAGGTCTAGTCAGAGACATATTAGAGGCAGAAACAGGAGTTAGGAGGGGTAGAGGTAGACCTAGATTAGATTACTGTTCGCAAATAGTTAAGGATGTGGGTTGTTCTAGTTTAAGGGAAATGCAAAGTTTAGCTCAGGATAGGAAAGAGTGGAGGTACGTGTCCAACCAGTCTTAGGACTGACGACCATATGATGATGAACACTTTTATACTTTGCGACACTAAAACATATTAGACAATTGGCAGGTCAGTGATGGATTCAGTCGGAGACATGGGGTCATTCGACATTTTCCCTGTTGATTTAAAGCATGCTTCACAGTAATTGTTTCATGGACAACCAAGGGAGATTCCTTTCTTAACGCCATTTTTGTGCCACGTTAACACGTAGTTACTGTACCCTCTTCTTACAGTGTGGGGGTGTTGGAGCAAATAGAAATTCCAAAAGGTCTTGTAAAAAACGTACAAACAACTTTATTTCTAGTTAAGTTACTTATCCTCAAAGGGGAAGTTCGTTCCTTAATTTTTAGAGATGTATTGGTAGGTACAGGAAGTACGAATAGGGAATCTTTCAGGTTATCATAGGTACAACGTTTAAACGTATATTATCAAACAGTTTTTGATATATTTTTGTACGAATGATTGAGTAGTAAAACTAAATAATTATTAATACTTTATCGACACGCCTATGAAAATTGTGACTTCCCTAAAACGAAAACTCAGTTTGTCACATACATGTATCAACGATTGGGAAATATCAACTATAGTAGTAATATTGAGCTACATCATTTATCTGATAGTAATAATTAAGAATAAATTATTAGATAAAGATTACTGTGGGAAAAATGTGACCATATGTTATGCGTTTGAACTGCAGACTTCTTTATAAGTGCTAAATTTCTTAAGAGCAAACAATGGTGTTGATTTGCGGGGGCGTAGACAAAGAAACGCCAGCGATAAATTTATCATTTCGCCGTGGAACGGTTTATTTCTTTAACACATGAAGACATGAATTATCTGTCGCACTGGACATTATTCACGCTGGGTGACAGGTTGTCTTTTGCAATTAAAGGGCGTACAAACATGTATGCATCTACTTCGAAAAATATTAGTCATCGTATCGACTGTCGCGACGGTTCTGCGTGCAATTTGGGCTTTTTGGCTAGCAAAAAGCAATTTATTGGTAACCTGATGAGTATGATCTCCGTATCGTTATAAACGTATGCCTGAGGCGGCGATCGATACGGCAACATGTTTGCGAACAGGACGAAAATCTAGACGTCCAATCGGTAATATAAATTCATTCAGTAAGCTAAATACTTCAGAGTGATTTTTGCACATTTTCATGAGTCTCTTTTACTTTAATTTTATTATCCATGTATATGAGTAGAATAATTAGAATGAGGAAACTGCTCCGTCAATTAGATCATTATCCCATGCTGTAAGGCTCGTTAAGTTACTACAACATCCGCGTTTCTGGATGGAAGTAGTTGCTCATCAAGGACCTAAGGACCACAATAATTGAGACATCTACTGAAGCACATACCGTTGGTGGGCATGTATCTACCTACTACATACGTAAAGGCTGGACCAGTATCAATGGCTACCATAATAGTTTATTGCCTATGTCTCTATCACGCGTTGTTATGCGGTTGTTTATTACTTCCTTAATGCTACAGTTCAGGCGTCCATAAAACCGTTCCCGTGGTGAAAACTTTCGAATTCATCAAACCTTTAGCACGCTTGTTATGGGAATTTTTAATTTTTTAAATTGATGAATTTAATGACCATATGTATAATGCCGATGCAATGGCTGTTTTATCGCCTTTCGCTCCAAACAAATCCGATAAAAATAAATCTGTAGATAATATTAAGCTGTTTAATTTACAATAAACCTAACTCAAGTTGTTAGTGAAACTAATTACTTCTCACTTGGGCGCACAGAGAATGTTCAATTTTACAAAGCCCTATTTCTTTCGGTGATGCCGAATTCCCTCTTGTAGGGAGTTTTAGTTAAAATATAGACAGTCGAATTCCCTCCCGGGTACTAGCCGAATTCCCTCCCGTTTTATCAGCTCCGATAATTAAGTTAACGACAACTTACCGACTCTATTTATCGAAAATAAATATAAATTTATAGTGCACTTCAGTACTTCAGTAAATTAAAGATAAAATAATTTCAGAAAAAAACATATATCAGTTATGAAATGTTTATTTATTTATTTTTAAAATGGTTTCCCACTACCTTAACAAATTCAATGTTTGNACTTTAAAAAAAAAACACATATCAGTTATGAAATGTTTATTTATTTAATTTTAAAATGGTTTCCCACTACCTTAACAAATTCAATGTTTGGAAATTCGTGTGCGTCTAGCTTTTTGATGCAATCATCCAGAAAAACTTTATTAGTTTTAGTTTGTCTTGTATTTGACCAATAGAAGGGTAGTCCGATAAAATTATTATTGTTATTGTGGTGTCTATAATATATGAATAATATTAAGATTAATATGTGATGTGAGGCTGTATTATTTAAACAACTCTTTATGATCTTATAGTGGTAATTAGCACTCAAGGTCATCTGCCGTTAGGAGGCAATTGATGTATAATTAGGAGGGAATTCGACATACCGAAGATTTTAACCCTAATTAAAAACAGGTATATGGGATAGAACTAGGTATTATCCATTTCTTTATATGTGGATGCATCCTGTGACGACAAAAATGTGTATTATTTTCATTATACTTTCACTCAATGCAAAATTTTCTTTTGGTCATAATAAATACTCTACTGCAAGCAATGAATAAATCCATACATGCATTATACGTAACAGATAATCGCGACACGATTTTTTTGGCGAATGGTCAAGACTTGGCGTCATCTTTTGGTTTTCATAAATTATATTTTATTACGAGTTTTAGGTGCGCGTTATTGTAAAGATGGGAGCAGGTGTTGGTGAACAAGACACTGATCTTATCTTCTTCGGATGATCGAAATACCGTTGGATCAAAAGGTGAAGTTATTCGGACAATGTGGACGGACCTATGACAAATGACGTTGCAACAGCTACTGATGAAACAAATGACGTGGGTGCACGATAGTCGAGACCAAATCACATCCAGGCGGTAGTATTATACTAGTAGATAACGTATGTATCATTATAAGTATTTATGAAATGTTCTAACTTGCGATTAGTAATACCTACAATTAGTAATACAAAAACGAAATGTTTGCTGGAACACATAGTAAATGTAAAACTTCAACAGACAATTGGAAAACCGAATGGCAACGGACAAGTAGAAAAACGAATAGCAACAACATTTTTACTTCAAGTTTTACAGCACACATTTCATTTTCACAGGTTTATTGCAAATTATGATTTAGTTTTTACACAGACCCCAAATATAGGTAATGATGCCCAGCCATATGAAGAGCAGAGGTAAGAAAACAACAGCTGAGCATAGCACACGTCGTCGGGACTCTAGCGGACTACCCGCTCTCGCTCTCCCCGCCGCTGCCGCCTCTCACCACACTCGATATACCGTTTACCCCCACCACGCGGCCGTAACGCTTTTTCGTGACAGAAAAAATCGTAATACCCACCGTCTATACCTATAGAAGTTTCACATCAAAAATAATATATGGTCCCCAGCGTACGTGTACATATGTATTTGCAATGGAGTGATCATCATAAATCGTGATGTTCTAAATATGTACGGTTCCGTTTGTAATGCAATTTGTTGTAACCCTTTTCTCGGTTAATAGCCTTTTCTAAAATTAGCTGACAACTAAACGTATGGCGTCTAATTAAAGAATGGAACTAACTAATGCGGTTACTCCTAACGTCCAGCATGGTGCCGTTTAATGGGAAAATATTCGATCCTGGGGTTATTGTTATTAGATAAAATGCTAGTGGTTAAACGCCCGTCAACGAAATCGTTAGGTGAAATTAGGTTACAGTGTTAGACTATGGTGGAAAAGGATTCCTAGATTGCCATATGTAAACAGCTAAACACCTTTGACAACGGTATTCAAGTATACATATAAATTTGGATTTTAAGTGACTACACAAGGCCTTAATCTTTCGTTCAGTTTTTTTGATGTGCTAACGCATGTGGTTTACGGTATATTCATCTTTAACAAAAGCAAAATCGTGAACACGTTCTCATCCTCTGTTCATGTAGCTGTAATAGATTGAAACGATGAAGTTGTCGCAGAAACCAGTATCTTTATTTTTTTTGCGATTTCTTAGTTAATCGCTAATAGTTTAACTGTACAGTTAGTTTATAGCCGATTCTTGATGTCTAAATCCTTACCTTAAATTAAACTCTGGCGACAAGTCAATCCTACTACCAAAATAGTAGATGTCAGTTGAACATACCTGAAACAATGAAAATAAATAATTAGTCTCTATCATAAGTTTCTACAAAAAAAGAAACATTCTAAACAGTGTAAATTTATGAAAAGGTTTTGACAATGTTAAATGGGACAAGATATTAAATATACATACTTAAAAATGTAGGGATGAGTTACACAGATAGAAGAGTGATACTTAGTTTGTATAAAGAGCAACAGACAGTTATACAGCTGGAGCAGCAACGCAGAGAAGTAAATATGTTATAATAATAATTCCTCCACTCGAGATCATACTTCACAGGATCATTTCTCTAGTTGATCTTCGAATACTTTTAACTCAAAGGTTGATATATATATATATATGATAAATATACTGGGACAAAAGATTATTATGCTTAGATTTGCAGATAATATAGCAGTATTAGCATCCAGCAAGGAGGAGTTAGAGATAACTTTAAATAAACTGAAAAAAATAAAAGCAAAACAAAAATACATGTATGCAAGGGAAGAAAAAGTAGAGAAAGAGCGAATATAAAGATAGGGGACGAAAAATTAGAAGATGTGGCTGGTTTTTGGTATCTAATAAGAAGTCAGATAAGTTAGGATTCAAGGCGTAATAGGGATATAAAGCAGGGATTAGCGCAAGGTCGATTCGTCTTCAATAAAAAGAAGTCACTTATATGCTCACGAACGGTTTGTGTGTATGTTTGGGTGCGAGAGAAGGTTAAAAATGAAGAGCTATTAGAAAGAATAGAAGAAATAGGGTATAAGGGAGGTCGGTTGTTAGGACAACTTGTTAGGCATGAAGGGCTAGTCAGCAGAGGTAGACCTAGATTAGGATTATCGTCAGGATATGAAAAAGTGGAGGTACGTGTCCAACCAGTCTTAGGACTGACGACCCTTTATGATCATGATGATAATATTTTGTGCCTGGAAGTCTGAAAAAAAAATAATTGCTTGTTTCACACAGTAACGTAACAGCAAATGTAAAACGTTCTTTAGTTGTATCATCAGAGACGTTGATTGCACTGGCTTTTTACCAATCATGAACTCAGAAGGTTCTAATCGCATGAAATCTTTCGAACTTCTCGACATCAATAAAATTGTGGACATCACTGAAATACGTATGTAGCTCAATCAGGTATTTTATTTAACAAAATTACTCGACAACAAGTTGAACTGTCCCGCGAGCCGGTTGGAAAGTGGCGATAATTCGCCAATAGAAGTGGCGGTTGCAAGGCCATTCGCCACATTTAATTAAGCAATTGGCTTCTGCTCCAATGATACTTCGCACCACATGCTGGTTCGATTCTGTTCTGTTTTTAGATAACGTTGTTTATGGACTTGTTCGGAATTAGTTGGCTGTAGACAGTATGGCCGAAGCCCTGTATTGGTTATATCGTAGCATAACATAGCCACTGCTATACGACCATGCTACGTACAGATCTACGTACCTAGCAGGCGATCGCCGGCTCCCGGCATATTGTCAAGTTATCAAGGTGAACGCCTGATCGGCGCGATAAATGAATTTCTGTAATTGCCGATAAAGAATGAAAGAAAGGGAACGACCGTATAACGCCTTTTTTTTCAAAGCACTTGCTGCCGGCAACACTTGAAATCCATCAATAGATGCATTTCCCAAATTAATTACAGACGGCTTGATGAAAGCCAATTACACAAAACTACTAATTGTGATTTCCTTAACGTTTCACCAGATCCTTCTACAATTAAGGATATCGCTTGTAAGCTGTGAGACGTGGATCCCTACTTAAGTGTGTTTCGACCTCATCAGCACGACATAGACAATTCCAGCAGAACACAGACCAATTTATTTGGTGCCTTTAAACATAGTTTACCGATTAAATACCAAAAGCGTGGTGCACGCCATCTGTAGATATTCATCAGTGTTCTGTGTACGGCGTGCTAATGAAATCCATACAGTCTAAAAATTTTGGCAAACTGCTACCCGAAAATTTTTATTTTATTGGGCATATGTGTCCATCAAGTAGACTGCTGCGCTGTGGCTTCAACTGGACTAGTCGATCTCCTTATTCACAAAAGGACCCTATCAAACAAAGCTTTCCGAAAGTGAGAGATATGAGCAAAATCTCTACATAACCTGTAAGAAAAATCTATGACCATCCATACTTATGACCTTAGAATCAATTGAATCAATTTTTATGCTATAATTTTTAACTATCTATCGATGGATTTGGTTTTGCTGATACCATTGCTTATAACTGTATGACTAAATTTGAGCTTCTGATTATAAAGCATTGCATAATAAGTAGATTCACTTATTTGGTCTCATTGTCTATCTTTTTTACGAAACTATGCGTAAGTAAGAGACTTCGATCTTCAATCTTCTTTGACGTCCCATTGGTGACATTCAATAGAGGGCCCTATTTTCATCAATTTAGTACCATTTGAAGTGCAAAATGATTAGAATTATTTGACTTCAAAATAAAGTAGTATCTACTAAAGTTTTTGGATGTTAGTTATAGTATCTTAGACAAGATGCGAAATTAAACTTTTGATCAGAATTTACAAGGAGAAGAAGATCGGCTGAATTACGTATGCACTTATATAACTTTCTGTTACAGTTATTTTTGCTACAAGGATGTTTCCTTTCTCATATTTCGTAAGTATGCTCAATAACAACTTCAAATACATGTGTACACGTATCTGCAGTAAGTACAAGTAGCAGATGTAGCTTGCAAACCAAACAAACAACTGGCAACTGTACCCAAGTGGTAAGTACCTATACGTATGTAAGTTAAGTAAAATATTGGGTGTCAATGTTCACTCGTACGGTGCTTTTAACAATAGAATCGATCAGTGCACATAAAGTGCAAGGTATTGATTGAACTGGTGCAAAAAATCGAAACAAAATGAAGTGGGCAACGAAAGAACGAACAAACAAACGGTTCGTAACAGAGATAATAATGGCGAGCAACTGTTTCACAGCACCACACTAACCTTACACCTAAACCTACCACCTTCTATCGTTCACTATTATTATTTGGTATGTACGATTCTGGAAAGAATCGGAATCGGAAAATGCGAGGCAGTTAAACACCTCTGTGGAAAATCGTGGTGTGTGCGTTAAATGATATTTGCAACACAAAACATTTCCTTTCAGAAAAAAAATTGGGTTGGTAATATGCGGAAAATAAATTGGAAATGTTTTAAGTAAAACAATTTAGAACAAAAAATACTACAAATGGCGCAGTAAGCGCCATCTGTAGCACGATGCTACATTTTAGGATTACGTACTACAGATGGCGTTTACTGCGCCATTTGTAGTATTTTCTAAAACGCGCTGTTAAGACAGCAGGTAAAAGTTGGTCTGTGTTCTGTCGGAGCTGCCTGCGACGCGCTGATGAGATCCAAAAAGGTCGAAATCGCGATCCGCGTCTGGCAGTTTCGACAGAATACAGACCACTTCGAATTATTTTAATTTAGAACAATTGTAGCGTTATAGCTCTTGAAACAGAGCTAAAGGTACAACAATAGAAAATAATGCTACCACTGCTCGGTGTTGTTAGTCATTAAATAAATAGCATGAAGTAGAGAGAAAAGATTTACAACTGATACATTAATAAACAATTGCCGTAAACAGTATAAAAATCATTAAATGTTGTAAAAAGAATGCGAACGTGCGCGTCTTTTAATGTCTTCGCGTCACAAACAAGGACTTGGACCAAAAATTAGGAACAATGGACATCTTGAACGGTAACCGATGATTATCGCGAGCATGGAAAATGAAGCATTTAAGGTCAACTACAGCAAATAAAAATGATTCTTTTATTTAAAGAGTAAATCGTTAACAACGTGAACGACGCTAACAAAGACTTTTTGTTGTTAACATTTTGAGGCGATTATATCGCGCGAAAGACAATACGTGAACTATTTATTTATAAGAAAGAGGAATAACGGTCAGTGAATGTTTTTCTTTTTTTTTGCCTTTTTATTGGCAAAATGGGTCTAGCTGTACAACTAATTGATGTTATAAAATTCTTTGAATCGATAATACTTTCAATATTGTGACCCCGTGTAAACACACAAAATAGGCACAACGCTTTAGCTACAAGGGTTCATTAGATAGAGAAAATAAAACTCTTGTGTATTTCGTTCCCACCAACCAGTAATGCTAGGATTAGATTTCATAAAGTCGAGTATATTAATTGTAAAGTATGTATAAAACTTCATAGTTAAACGCTAAGGTGAAACCTTTGAATGTCGACCCCGACCATACTTCATACAATCTACACATGGTTTCTTCAGATAAAAGAAGCCACTCCACTGGCAATATACGACCAACCTGGAATCTTTCTTTAGAGCGAGGGATGTTTAAAAAGAGCATCGGATTCGGTTATCAAATCAGTAGTTGGGGACGGGTTTGGTGGGATAAAGAACTAAACTTTTGGGCGTTTCATTCCCACCAGCTACTGATGCTGGGTGGGCGGGCAGTCCCTCAGGACTACGCTAGAACCTAGGGCGGAAGGCCCTCTTTAGCCTCCTTTCAGGAATCGTGGAAATTGGTGGGTGGTGGTTCGGGTTAGAAAGATGAGATGGACGAAATGAAGACAGAAGAGACTGAGAGATTATCGGTGGAATAGTGCTGCCCCAGCATTTGCCTAAGTGATCCAAAGAAACTACAGAAAAACTTGGACCAAGGCAGACAAACCCGGAATCCAACTGGCGTCCTCCCGAATGCTAAGCAATGGCGTGAACCTTTAGGCCATGCCGCTTGGTCATTAAACAAAGGTTGTTAGGTATTTCTGACACTCTTCTCCATCTAAACGAGATGCAGGTTATCCTGGTAGAGGTAGGTTTTCGAATTTACAATGTATAATCAGTTATTTTTGGAGTCAGTGCTAGTCAAGAGGGACATTTTTAATCCTGCCTTTGCAACAAAACTTTTCATCCGATTTCTTTTGTCTAATCTCTACTTTCTTATTCATACATTAATTGAGTAATCAAGTTTTATCTATTAAGGTTATTTTAGGTGTGGCTGGCACCAACTCCAAAAGTAACCGATTATTATGAATTGTAAATGTATATAGGTATCAATGATTTTGTCGATTGTTCTGTAATGCACTTTGCTTTGAAGTAATTAAAATATTATTTTCTACTCTCTAGTTTTAGTTTGTACATGTACCTAAGATAAAAATGTTCAGTCTGTCAGAGTCTCTGAAAGCCAGATTCGGGTCTCCGTCTCTCATCGAGTCTCTCTCGAGAGAGACTGTCGAGAGACTGTCAAAAAAACTGTTTAGCGTCTCTGACCGAGAGACTCGAGTCGCTCATAGAGAGATCCTCATTTCGTATGCAGTCTCTGAACGAGAGACTTGAATCTCTCAATAAGTGATG